ACAGACTTGACCTTAATGTTGCAATCGATGGCCTCAAGACGTTCAGACTGTCAACAAAACTAAAATTTTAGGTGTGACTTTTGACAGTCTGTGCCCCTTCACTTCTCATATGACTGCGATTATCACCAAAGTACAGAGCCGCAACAGAATCCTCAAGTAGCTAGCCAGCAGCACATGCGGAAAAGACAAAGAAACGTTGTTGGTAACTTACTACGCAATCGGTCGGTTGGTACTTAACTATGCCACACCAACATGGTCGCTTGGATGCAGTAAAACGCTGACGAGGAAGCTCAGACTTGTCAGAATACTGCACTCCGCATGACTCTAGCCACTTCTCTGAATGACAAACGTACCCCATTCAACTCCCTAAGGTCCGACCTTGACGAAGCAGCACATTTCCTGGGTCTACAGTTAGATGACTTCGATGTCACCAGTTCAAAAATATATATATTTTTTTCAATATTGTGATTACCCCTAAGCCATGAAGTATCCTTTTGCTAGAAGATAACTAATATTTTCTTAACGCCTTTAGATTCTTCCATCACATCGCGTGTTGAAGCCAATCAGCCGGTCGGTGGATTAACGGCGCAACAACAGCAACTGATGGCGTATTTAAACTCACAAAGTCTTTTGATTGAGGAGAAAAGAAAGCTTTTGGAAGCTTTCGAAACTCTATTCAATGAAAAACCTGGTCCACATGAAAACTCACACGACTTTCAAAGCCTTTCAAATATCAGAAAAATAATTGATGAAAACAAAAAACTAAAAAATACTGTAAATACGAAAGAAGCCGATGTGCTAATGAGCATAACGAACATAAAAGACAACATTGAAAAAGCGACAGCTTTCGGCAAAGAGGTTGAGTATTTACGAAAGAAATTACAAGAAAATGACGAAAGATATTTAAAAGACCGAGGCGAGCAAGAGCGACTCCACGGCGTGCAAATGCAGAGCTGCGAAGCAAGCATGCAACACCTACAAACCGAGAATGAACGCCTCATGAACGAAATGCAAAGCTTGTTGGAAGCAAAATTTCAAATTGAAAATGCGCTTGAACAGCAAACACAGCTGATTGACGAACTGAAAAGTAAGTTGTCAGCGCTTGAAATAAATGAAGACACCTGTGAAGCTAACAACACACCAGAGCTACCGCCAGGCGAAAGAGAGGAACTGCTGCGCCTGCGTGCAAAAGTTGAGGAACTTGAAAAGCGTTTGGCGGCAGCGTTGAAACACGATGAAGCGCGCCGCAACGAAAGAGTGCGCCTGCTTCAGCAGCTGATCGAGCAACAAAATGGCAAAGTGAAGCAGCTAACTGAATCACAAGCAGACTGGGAAGAGCTGCTCACAGCACTGCAAGTCGCGCAAAAGTTGGAGGAAAGTGCGCGAGCCGAGTTGCAGTTAAAACACACCGAACTGGAGGAGCTAAATGCGCTGTTCGCCGAGCAGAACGAAGAGTTGAGACAACTCCAAGCCATTGCTTTGCTTGCCAAAAGCAAAGAAGAAGAACCACATGAAAATGCACAAACGAACTGTGAGATGTTGCAAGCCAAACTTAGCGCGCAATTGGCCGCGAGCGCAGCCCAGCAGCGCCAAATTGAGGAATTGCAGGGCAAAAATGCGCGACTCGAACGTCAGCTAAATGAAGATTACGCCGAAGAAATGGCGCGTAATCAGCGACAGTTGCGCGCTTTGCAAACCAAAATGGACAAACTTAAAACCGAACGGAATGAGTATGCTGAGCGCCTGGCGGCAATGGAGACAGAGCTGCAGCAGCTGAGGAAGAGTAAGCGCGATGGCCTCGTCTTGCCACCAGAATTTGTAGTATTATCTAAGAAGACGTTACAAGCTTGTGATGAAACCGCCACCTCCAACGATGCAAACGTCAACACAAGCGGCAGCGAGTCGGACAGTAACGAACGCATGCGCATACTCACCAAAGTGCTCGAAGCGGAGTACAGGCGCAAAATGAAGCGCTACGACTTGCATATACACACACTGCTGGGCAATATCAGAAAGCTGAAGAAGACGCTGCGTGCGACCGAGCAACGCGCCGCACATTTGACGCACGAGCAGTGCAAGACAATGGAAGAGTTGCACGAACTACGCTTGACCGGAAGGCAGCTGGAGGAGATGCGCTTGAAGTGCGAACATAACCAAAACACAATTAAAGTATGCTGTGCGGAAATAGAAATGTTAAAATTGGAAAATAATTTTATTTTTTCATCTAACAGGCACTCGAACAGGCTCTAGAAATGGAGCGCAAAAAATTCGAGGCTTCCGATTTGGGCAAGGCAGCGCACATTACACGCGACTCGGCTGCGGTGGCGCAAAGTAGCGTTGAGCCGGCGCATGAGGTCGCCAATTTAATTGATGATTACAAAAAGGTATGTACTTTTCATAGTTATTTCAGTTATATGTAGTTTAAATATCTAAACAAAAATGTTTATAGTTAATTCAACAATCGGCGCTGGCTACACGCCGCCCCAAGACCAGCAGCATACTGGAGCTGATACAACGTAGCAATCAATGTGTGCCAAATTTACACAAACTGGACGCGTCAGTTGATGGCTTGCGCAAGGACTTGGCGCATTTCCTTAGCGCGCATACAAGGAATATGCGTGCTGTTGCGAGTGCGCAGAAGTTGGATGGACCCTCGCTGTTGGATGAGCTGCGCGCTGCAACTGAAACTTACTAAATTTTCAGGAAATTTTATTGTGTTAGCTTTAAACAAGCTGAAATAATTTCGTGGAATGGTAGACGGAGCTGATCGGCTAAAAATCCGTGAGCTTACCGGTCACTTAGACCCGTCTATTGTGTGCACGGTATCTTTAATATTAGTAGCTTAAGCTGTGAACGGCTCTGCACAGGTTGAGCGTCATTTTTGTCATACTTCCTTCTTGCTGTGCATAAAATGCAAACGAACATTGCCAAATTAAGTTAAACTATTTCTATATTTTTTATTACTTATCTAATAGTAGCTGCTTTCAGTTCCTTATTCTTCATATTTATTTGTTGTTTCCGTTTTTTATTTATATATAAAGTAGATTTCTTCCTAAAGACATTTTTCTCGAGTATACGGGTTATTCTTGAAAAAACCAAAATAAAAAAAATTTAAAAAAATGTCTGACAAATTAATTGCCAAACGACCAAATAAACGATATTGACTACAATAATAATTGCCGGCATTTGAACTTTTGTAAATTCAGTTAATTATAATTTTAGGTGTGATGAGTAAAAAGCGCCTAAGAAATCGAGAAGCGCAGAGCTCATACAAAACAGCAAAGCTCGACACGCTGATAATCTGAAACTTACCGATCCAAACGAGGTTAGATCTTCGAAAGAACAGCTCTTGACCGAGTAAAATCAATTTTAGTATCGTAGCACCGGCTGTCGTGGAAATTTCGAAATTTCCTGGGCCTACCTTTGGATGACCTCGATAAATACTTATCTGAACCTTACCACCCTAACGGGGCCTAGATAACCGTTACAATAACAACAGCTAGCTGATAATTTTTATATCGTTTTTTTTTTACGCTGAACAAGCTATATTAATTCTGCAACACACAGGGAGACCACGCAGACCTATATATATATATGATCTACACGACCTCAGTTTTTGAGATATTAACCTGAAATTTTGCACACATCCATTTCTCTACAAGAAGCTGCTTATTTGGCGAAAAAGCCGAAATCGGACCACTATAGCACATAGCTGTCATACAAGCTGAGCCATAAAAATCAAGTACTTCTATGGAAAACTTTTCTATTAGACAAGATATCTTTACAAAATTTGGGACGGATTACTCTTCAAAAATTTGGTATGACTTCCGAAAAAATTGTTTAGATCGAACGACTATAGCATACAGCTGCCTCAGTTTGAGCCATAAAAATGTTATACTTGTATAGAAACCTTTTCTCTTTGATGAGTTATCTTCAAAAAATTTGACATACATTATTATTCAAGGCACTTGGCAATGCGATCGCATAACTTGTAAACATGGCTGTAAGATTTGGAGACGTAATAACCCGGAGTACGAAAATGAGCTGATACGTTCAAGTGCCTGCTATACAGAAGATAGCACCGCTACCAAAAACTGTCAATATTCGTATATCGATATATACGACGGGCTACAGCCTGAGCTGGCAGGAAGTAAAGGGCACCGTAGCCGCTGAGGATTGGGCTAGTGTGCAGCAGACCACTAGAGATAATATGAAAGCAGTCGATGCGCTGATACCAGCTGCGGGTAAATTGACATGCAAGCAACAACAACAATGTAATCAAGATAAGGAAAATAATGTTATTAAGCGCATGCGATTTATGTTAATTTAATTTAGCTGAAAAAAATATTAAATTTATGTATGTATATGCATATACGTGTAAATAAGAAAACAAAAAAACCGTTATTTTCGGCTACACCGAAACTGTAATATGTAAATGCACTTCACAGGTGCATTTCTTATAGCAAAAATGTATATAAAAAGGTCTTTACCTTTATTTTGTTCGCTCAGTTTGTATGGCAGCTACACACATATTAACCTGAAATTGTGTACACATTAATTTCTCTACAAGAAGCTACTTATTTGTAGAAAAGTCCGAAATGGGACCACTATAGCACATAGCTGTCATACAAGCTGAGCCGTAAAAATCAAGTCTTGTATGGAAAACTTTTTTATTAGACAAGAAATCCTTACGATATTTGGGACGGATTATTCTTTAAAAATTTGGTATGATTTCCGAAGATATTGTTTAGATCGAACGACTATAGCATACAGCTGTCGTACAAACTGAGCCGTAAAAATGTTATCCTTGTGTAGAAAACTTTTTTATTTGACGAGTTATCTTCACTAAATTTGGCATAGATTATTATTCAAGGCAAAGGTACAATGCCCGAAGAAATGGTCATGATCGGACCACTACAGCATATAGCTGCCATACAAGCTGAGTCATAAAAATCAAGTCTTTGTATAGAAAACTTTTCTATTTGACGAGTTATCTTAACAAAATTTTACATACATTATTATTCAAGACAAAGGTACAATGTCCAAAGAAATAATCCAAATCGGATCACTATAACATATAGCTGCCATACACACTGTCCGCTCAAAAGTAAGATTTTCTACATATGTAGGGCATTATAGCTTCGGTGCAAACGGTTATTCTTATTACATATCATTTTGCTAATAACCTACGATCACTTTGTGTTTTAGCAACAGTTTAGCAACTGAATTTGATGAGTAAGGCGGCCTTTCGACTGCTCGTATATTTGTTACTATTCGTGCCCTGGCGATAACAACTCCGAATCAAACGGATCATCAAGTGCAAAGTTTGTAATGTCGCATCACTTTCAAACACTTTACTCCATTTTGGCTGCGTTACACTGTCTCACGGCGGCCAAATATGTGTCGGGCATTTCCTACATAGATGATGTACAACTTTCGCATGAAAATGGTAAGCCATTATTGCTTAACATTAACATTAACTTTATAACTATAACATTTACATATATATGTAATACATAGGCACTTGGCAATGCGATCGCATAACTTGTGAACATGCTATCCATGGCTGTAAGATTTGGATACGTAATAACCCGGAGGACGAAAATGAGTTGATACGTTCAAGTGCCTGCTATACAGAAGATGGCACCGCTACTCGGCAGCTTAGCCAAGCACAACGCATGCCGAAACCAAAAACTGTCAATATTGATATAGATTCTTATATTGGCGCGCAATCGATATATACAACGGGCTACAGCTTGAGCTGGCAGGAAGTGAAGGGCACCGTAGCCGCTGAGGATTGGGCTAGTGTGCAGCAGACCACCAGAGATAATATGAAAGCAGTCGATGAGTCCAATAGCTCTTCGTAGATGTGCTGATACCAGCTGCGGGTAAATTGACATGCAAGCAACAACAGCAATGTAATCAAGATAAGGAGAATAATGTTATTAAGCGCATGCAATTTATGTTAATTTAATTTAGCTGAAAAAAATATAAAATTCATGAACATGTACATATGTATATGCATATACGTGTAAATAAGAAAACAAGAAAAACCGTTATTTTCGGCTACACCGAAACTGTAATACGCTTCACAGGTGCATTTCTTATAGCAAAAATGTTTATAAAAAGGCCTTTACCTTTATTTTGTTCGTTCAGTTCATATGGCAGCTAGATATATGCGTAGTAGTAGTAGTAGTAGTAGTAGTGCGATCTGAAAAATTTCTTCGGAAATTGTAGCAATGGCTTAGTTAATAATTTATGCCAAATTTAGTGACGATAAATTAGCAAATACCAAAATTTTCCTTACAAGGACAGGGTTTGTTCGATCAGTTTGTACGGGACCTATAGGCTATAATCGTTCGATCTAAAAATTTTCAATCAGAGATTGTAGCTATGCCTCAGATAATAATTCTTGCTAAATTTCGTGAAGATAAGTCATCAAATACAAAAGTTTTCCAAACAAGGACATAATTTTTAGGACTCAGTCTGTATGGCAGCTATATGCTATAGTAGTTCGATCTGAAAAAAATCTTCGGGGATTGTGTCATATCTTAAAAAAATAATTCGCCCCAAATTTCGTAAAAATATCTTGTCAAATAAAAAAGTTTCCATACAAGAATATGATTTTGATTCTTTAGTTTGTATTACAGCTATATGCTATAGTAGCCCGATCTGAAAAATTTCTTTAGAGATTGTAATATTGCTTTGGTTAATAATTTATGTAAAATATCGTGAAGATATCTCGTCTAATACAAAAGTTTTCCATACCAGGACTGCATTTTGTTCGATTAGTTTGTATGGCAGCTATATGTTATAGTAGTTCGATCTGTATAATTTCTTCGGAGATTGTACCGTTGCCTTGGCTAATAATTTATGCTAAGTTTCGTGAAGATATCTTGCCTAATACAAAAGCTTTCCGTGCAAGAACTTAAATCCAATCGTTCGAGACCTTGGTGTACCCGAAAGCGATCGAAATTTATGTGAACTCGTATGTGAACGCCTCAGCAAAGTGGGTTACTTGCTGCAATACGAAATTCTATTCGGTGAACGCAACAATCCACGCCGTTTCATGGCCGCAGAAAACGAGGGATAGCATTAAGCATTACGAAGAGGATGCATGGACCTATTTCCGAGGGGTTCGAGTATCAATAAGTACATTAAACACTTATTGATACTCGATGCTATTAAATACTAAATAAATAACCAGCAATTAAAGTAAAATTTTGTATTAAAATTTTGTCGAAAAATCTCACAAAATAGCAAAAAAGCTTAACAAATCTTTTTACAGTTATTTTTATTATACACATAACGGTTATATGTAAGTACATACATACATATAAGTACATACATATAAGTATAAGGTATTATTATTTCACAGCATTTATTGTCGGGTATTGGTTTTGCTTTAATAAAAACAGCTTCCTGCTAGGCTTAGATCACTGCCATCCGAAATGTTTCCTCATTTCCCCCACAGGCCTGCGCTACGGAATGCTTCTACTAAGTCTTGGTGAGCTGTTTCAAGGCTTCTTCTCACTGCTTCACCGGTCTGCTGAAGAGTTCTGGCAATTTGACGATTAATATGGGCCGTATTCGCCGCAGCATTGGCCACAGCTTCCGCAGCAGCTTTTTCAGCAGCTTTTGAGACAGCATCTGTATTAACAGATGAACTCGAATAAGACGTACTTGTATAGGTGTTGGAGTAGGAAGAGTCCTGTAGTACAGACGTACCGCTGCTGCTCACAATCAGTTTGAAATTGATGTCTTCATAGGGTTTTATTGGTTCGGTAACCGACTCATCGACAAGCAGCTGTTTGTTGGCGGACACACAGATATTTCTTCGTATTAGATCGTTTGGTTCAGTAGGCGACCTAGACTTCGTCACCACACATTGATCGGTATATGCGGGACATAAGACTAGATCACAACGCCAGTACGCTATAAAATAAAAAGAAAATGTTGTAGACTAATCCTAAATACAAACAGTGGCAGATCCATGGTAGGCTTTTGGGTGCTAAAACCAACCAGAGTCTAAGATTTTAAATTCAACTCAGTAGTGTGAGAAGTAAAATCAATATTAAAAATATGTTTGCAGGTTAAACCCCCTCAGTAAGAAATACTGGCTCCGCTACTGTTTGCAACAAATTTTTTCCACTTACTGGCATTCAGGTAAACAACGACATCGCCGGCTATAGTTTGGCTAAATGTATCGGTGACCAACTGACTGAGAGCGCTTGCAGGATCAGTTAGACTAAAACAAACGAGTCCAATGAGTAGAACGTGTAGCTGGAGTGATTGCTTTCCGAATCGTTGCATATTGTCCGATATAACGGTGCTCTTGCGGTGCTCAACTTAAGGTATTTGTGCTGAAATATTATAAATATGTGGTCACTATTTTGTAGCTTTGTTAATAGAAACACCGATTTCCACGCGATCAATGGTTTGTGCTTAGACTTAGTATGCTTTCTTGTGTGGCGGTTAAAGACCAATAAAGGTGCTGATGAAGTTCATGTAATGAGTTGAATGAATTGGTTGATGAAAAGATAGGAAAAAAACGCAAACTTCATAAATCCAAAAGATTCTTTACAAGAACAATTTATGTGGCAACATGGTATTGAGATCCGATCTCAACAATTTCTTCGGAGTTTTCGCCATTGCCTTAAGTAATAAGTAGGTTGATAGTTGGAGTCACTGTCTAACGACGCAGCTAGGTCTTTAAGTGATACATAGTGATACCACTGGGACTAAAATCTCTTCCCACTATTTTCTTTTCGCAGAACCATCTCGTGTTTCTGATGAAGTTCATCAGTTTCAGAAAAGTCTGATCTGTGCAACCTCAGCAATCATCAAGAAACCCTCGACCGGTAGTTCCGATTCTTTGCTCATATAATAACTTTTCACTATGTATATGTAAATAATATTCTCTGTCAGAACAAGAAGACTTTATCATTGCTGTGATCTTCGCTTGACAGGAAGGCGTTTTTAACATATAATTTTGCAGAAAAGACACCACTTTCCACCTATATCTAGTCCAGCTCGTCCCTTTCCCACATTTTTTTTTGGTCGGAAAGGCAAGGTCTGTTGAACGAAAGACGATTTTGGTATCTAATTTTGCTGAAAAGACAACACTTCCACCCCATATCAAGTTGAAGCCATCTATATAGATACCAAACTCTGTAACGCTGTCCAGCTCGGTCCTTTCCCACATTTTTTCGGTTAGGAAGGCAATATTAGTGACGGAATTTAAGATGAATTCTACAGGATTTCGTAAACTCATTATTAGGTAGAAACGGAAACTTACTAAGTATGAGAGAACGCTCGTTATTATACATAGGCGACTAATAGGGAGGATTCTGTATGCCTTCAGATATACGCTATTGTGGTTCGATGTCGGCGATACTGACAATCCGTAGCTTCTTGTTAAGAAAAGGAAGTGAGCAAAATTTCTGATCGATAACTCAAAAATTGTGGGATATAAAGATAGACCACTAAGTCGAACGGAGTCATGTGTAGAAGTTCACACAAGTGCGGAAAGTTCTCTGATTTTCATTCAGCTGGGAGTGGCCAGAAACGATTATTTTACATTTGGCTCAAGCAGCTCACGGCTGCCGATCTTAGACCAAGTATCCTTTTGGTAGCCAAAGAACATGCATTTGAAGACGAGCTAAAGTGAGAAGCGGACTATCCCTCCCAAGGAGTGGGCGCTGAGTTTGAGACTCGCCACGTAAAACACCCTACCAATGGGAAGGAAACGACAGCCTCGGATAAGTGAACCCCATTTTTCTGGCGACCCTTTCTTGCTGCTCAGGGTATAAAATCAAAAGATTTTAATAGAAAGTCAGAAATGTCTAATCATCTAATTGATTTTCGGTTGGTAGTCAATATCGATAAAAAATAACCAATAGTAGGTGCCTATAAGTTAAACTTATCAACAGCGGCCGATTCGGTCATTGGCGCAAAGCCGACCCAATAAAAAAGCTTCGTAAAAATATTATTTTGTTAACAAATCTCAAGTGGCTACGCATTTAATTTAAAGACCTGTCGAAGGCCAGAGATAACGCGTGGCAAGAATGACAAAGTATGAGTCACAACTGATTGTTTCACAATGCCTTTCTTACGATCCGTTGATTAGCTTATGGCAAATAATAAAAGTTTATGATTATTTATACCATTTGGACAAGCTGAAGTGGTGGCTAACTGATTTTGGAGCATGCAAAGGTTTAAGTGAATTTCTTATCTCGATTTCTTTTGCGAAAAACTCGATTATAAAAGCAATTGGCGAAAGTGCAGACGGCATCAGTTAAAGTGTTGAGCAAACATCCGAAGAAAGGTTGTTTGTGGCTTAACGGTTTCGACGATTTCAAAACAATTTTAAAGTTACGGAGAATTCAGTACGATCTTGTTCTATACTCTTATCACTTAGAATATAACAATGACCGAAATAATTAAGTTTACAAGCATCGCCTTCTTGGCGTTTTGCTGCCTAGCTCAAGCGAAGTATGTGCCCGGTGTTTCCTACGTAGAAAATGTGGAACTCGCCTACGACAATGGTGAGCTCTCAGAGATGCTTTTGGCTAACCAAGTTTTTTTTTTAATATTTTAACTTTTTCTTTACACTTTACAACATCTTTTCAGTGACGGACATTTGGCGTTGCGACAAACTCGTTTGTCCTCCCGGCACACGCTCTTGTAAGATCATAAAGCGTGATAATCCCAACAAAGCAGACGAATTGATTTGTAACAATATTTGTGTCGACAAGCTGGGCGCGAATTTGCTGAAGTTCACACATACCGAGTCCATGGTGCAGGCGCAGACGATTGATATTTATGTAAATTCTTATTTGTACGGCGATATATGGCAGTGGAGCACGGTTTACAGTTTGTCTTGGCAAGGCGTAAATGCCACAATCGCACCGCAAGATTGGCCGCGAGTACAGGAAAGTATGAGAACTCTTATAAAGGCGTTTGACGACTCATATGGCGCTTCGCAGAGAGTAATCAGCACATTTAAGGGGGCTCATTAAGAAAATTAATTTCAATTTACTTTTCCTTTATGAAAATAAATATAATTTCATGCAGCATTAAGTTTTTTTTCTCATTTGAAAGCCTAAAGGATTAGTGTAGATGTATCTATCTCCACAGTCAGTTTGGAGAACTGTCACCAAATTAAAATTGGAACAAAAGTTTGTACTGATGTCGGGTTTCCGGACACAGACTTAGGAAAATAAACCATCAAGGTTTGGTATACTAAGTTTAGGCTTTGTGTGAAATGAGCTCCAAAGACGATGAACGCCATGGATGCTCAAAAGAGATGATTCCATTATTTCACACCGGAGTGCAATCAAAAGTCAACTGTGTGAACTTCACACCAACAGTCGTCTGGCAAGATTTAGGTGTCCGTATTTTGAAATGCGAAAATAGGAAAGACCATCAAAAGCGACTTTTACATAGCGTTAATGGACGGTCCATGAAGGATGACATCGCCGAAAAATGGCCGCATTTGAAGTGAAAGAAAGTGCTGTTTCACCAAGGCAAAGCTCCGTGTCACAAGTTCGTGAAAACGATGGCAAAAATCCATGAATAGGACTTCGAATTGCTTCCGCTTTCACCCGCTTTCTCCAGATCTGGCCTCTAGCGTCTATTTACTGTTCTCAGATCTCAACAGAATGCTCGCTGTGAAGAATTTTCATCGAATGAAGTGTGATCGCCGAAACTGGGGCCTATATGGTACCGAAAAGTTAGAAGGTCACTAAAATCTGTGTATCGTCCTTGAAGGGAACTATGTTGAATGAAACAAACAAGTCAAAAAAATGTCTATTGTTATGGTAGGCCGAGATTCTTCAATCGACCTGTCAGAAAAAGAGCAGTAGACACCCAGTGACCACAGCAGTGTGGAAACGAAAGAGCTGGCGAATTGCCCTGCTGGGTTGCGTTAGAACAAGTATTTTTTATTAAATTTTAAGCTCGCCTACAACGAAGAAAACTTAATTGGTCTGCGGTTGAACAGTCTTTTCATAACCTATGTGCATACTATACATACGTGATTTATGATGAATTTATAACGTAAAGCTTGTGCAATGGGTGATTTGCTATTTTCGAAGAAAATGCACTGTTCTCATGTATTGATGTTAAGTGAAAAAAGAGATTTGCATGAGAATACTAAAGTCGTTAATAAGACACACGATACATACGAACATGTGGTGGAATGTGATAAGCTATTACTAAGAATATCAAAACTAAACTGGTCGCTTAATAAAACTCTACAGAACTATATGCATTTAGATCGTAGCTGCGGGCAATATTCGTTTAGACCAAACAAGTCTCTAACGGACTCTGATTGACTAATGGTTGGCGAAGTGTCACTGTTGTTGATTTTGGTGGAAGCTGTCATCAAGCCCAACTCCTGGATGATGGTACTTTCCAATAGAGATATTGTATACCTCTATCAAGAGGATTGAAGTGATTTTGACAACTCGTGGCGGCCATGTTTGCATACGGTTTTCTGTAAAATTTTGTCAGTCTATTCAGTAAAATTTACGATTTCATGATGTCAAAACGTTTAAAAAGTAATACCACAGGCATAATTTAAGGAACAGGTAGCATGATGATGAAAGTCTACACTTTCTTACGAAAGCAGAATATACTGATAAAGCGGAACCAATATATTTTTTTATTGATTTTATTTTTCCCGGTGTTATATACTTGTATATATATGAATAAAATGTATGTTCAAAGCAGTTGAGAAGATAAAATAAACACATAACTGACCACCTCGATGCATTTGAATAGATAAATCGCATTTATTGATAAAATTTCGCGATAATTTGTTCTGATGAAAAACATTTTGCACTTTCGCTCACACACTACATTCATTCGCTTATATACATATGTATATATTTATATTAGAGCGGGTCGATTTACAGCGAGTCATGAAACAAAAAAATCGCATATGCGTAAATGTCATTCTGAAGACCATTCCCTCGGAAACTAGGAGACTATGGGTCTAAAATGTCATACTGAGGACCTTTCACTAGGAGATCAGGAGACTATGGTTCTAAAATGTTATTCTGAAGACCTTTCACTAGGAGACCAGGAGATTATGGGTCTAAAATGTCGTTCTGAAAACCTTTTTCTAGGACACTATGCGACTATGCGTCTAAAATGTCATTCTGAAGACCTTTCCTACGGTGACTAGGAAACTATGGGTCAAAAATGTTGGTCTGAAAACATTTTGCTTAGAAGACTAGGAGGCTATTGGTCTAATATGCCATTCTGAAGACGTTTCCTTCGGAGACTGTGCGTCTAAACCCGATTTCGAGCCAGCAATTTTTAAGACGATGCTTTGATCATAAAATTTGTTCGACAGCTCCCACACAATCGATTATTCAGATTTTTTAACCTCGTCTTCATAATCGCTGGCTCGAAACCTGTTTTGGAACCATAACCTGCGTGGAAAAGTTCTTCATAATGATCCGCCGAACATTTTCCGCATAAACGATTTTACAGAAAACAATCGACCGGATCTAATGCAGATACATATGTATGTATATGCCATTGATCATTTGTCGGAATCGGTCAGATCGGACAACAACGTATATCACATAGTTCCCACACAACCGACTATTCAGATTTCCTGAACTTTGTTTTAAAAAATTCTGGCTCGAAATCTGTTTTAGATCGATAGCCTCTTAGACTGACAAGTAGAAATTTTTTTTGGAAAAAAAAATCGACCTGCTCTAATGTACATAGATATGTATATGCCGACGAATATTTGATTACTTTTTTGGTTTACGGAATATTTCACAAATATTTTTAGACTCCAAACACACACACTCACTTTAGTCTCGAAAGTTTCAAAACCTTTAATTTCAAACGCCAAACTAATAGTTAAAAATTTACAATAATCAGTTACTTTCAGCGATACTGAATATGCAAGCTTTGTATTTGTTTTTAATGCGCGTGTTGGAAACTTTGCGACAAGTCGTTATCGTATCTCTGATGTGACTGAGCTCGCGACTGGGTGGCTTGCTGCGAAATTGTGTAGAAAACCCCAGCAATTTCAATAGAATTGAAAACAAATAATAATAAAAATGGCACGAAACTGAGAATTTCAATAAACACGTATGAACTATATTAGACTTATATAGACAATTGTGTACATATATACATTTGTCTGTCTGTAGGTCTGGTTCATTAATTTTAACAGCGACATAGAGCATCGCGTAGTTTACAAGTGCGGCGAGTGGCGAGAGACAGGTGAACGGTTTGTATTTCACTTTTAATTATTTTCACACTGTCTATTCCATACAGTCTGTGCTACAAGCGAACATATTTACATATATTTTATTTAAATAGTTGCTAAACTTATCATGTATGATATTATTGTAAGTAGTGTAATGATTACGTAATTTCTTAACTTCAAGGAAATTTGAACTGCGTTCGTTTACTGCTCTGCTTAGAATAACAAAAGACGTTAGCTATAATACACTTCAAAAATAAAACAGTTCTTCATAGAAAGATTGAGTTTGATAGTTCACTTTGTATGGCAGCTATATGCTATAGTGGTCCGATCTGAATAATATTCACGGAGATCATACTATTGCTTTCAAAAGCAATCCACATCAAATTTCGTGAAGAAAAGTCTTCAAATAAAAAAGTTTCTCAAATAAAGACTTGCTGTCGTCATTGGGTTGTACTTCTTCCGTGATGATCAAGGCCGACACTAATAAAAATAATTTATAATTTTTCAAAGCTTATTATTCTCAAATGTTTCAGAACATTCTGCTCATAAATTTAGCTTAATATATGGTGTTAAAGTTTAAGTGATAATATGGGTGAATTAACGCGAAGGTTGCGAGTTTTAAGCTGTGGTTGTCAATGATTTATTTTTGAACTAAAAATGTGCTAGAAAAATAAAGTAAATATATCAGGACTTCACTTACATACAAAAAATAGAAATTTTGCTTAATGAGACAACCCAAATTGCTTTTTGAACTACTAGCACTCGTCCGTTACTATAGAGCTACAATAGTATTATATTACAACTTTGAGCAAAAGTAGTAAGAAAAAAAAAATTGCCAGAAGTCACACGCAGTTAAATCAGGCAAGTATGGTGGTTGCGGCACGTTATTGGTTAAACTATGAGTTGTCGGCTTATATTTTGGGTCTCTTTTTACAAAAAGCTTCGCGCAAAGAACACATAAAACTCAATTAGTTCCTTGGGGTTCCTTATTGACAGTTTGACCGGTCGGAAGGAGTTCGGAGTAAACCAAAGCTCGATAAATGAAGAAAACTGTCAACATAATCTTGATTTTAGACCTGCTTTGCGTGGTTTTTTTAGGCTGTGGCTCACCATTTTCACGCTATTAGTCCGATCGATCGTCTGTTTCTTCGGATTCGTTAAGAGCGGCCCCTAACTTGGCCTACTCGTCTGCTTTTCCGTTGCTGAAAAAGTTCCTGTGACCGAGAACCCTTATTATGAGCAAGTGGAGTTGGCATGTCAGTGAGCTTAAAGTCTTCCTACAATTGTTAACAATGCTCGCATTAATCTTTAGCGATGAAAAGTTTAACTATTTCGCCTGGTTATTTGTGTGTATGGTTGCTTTTTGTATCCTCCCGTGGTTATGCAGTTGAACTCCATAGGCTATCTCTATGCATAGTGCATTCGTGTAACAGTTACTAGCCGACTTTGATGGACGTAAAGAGAGATATGTATATCAAGTTTCTCAGCGTATACTCTGGTCCTACTCTGCAGTGCATTATTATCGCTACGGTATAGATTGATGTAGCGTTTTCCTCATCTACTGCACCTCTACACCTTAGTGGAAGTAACATAACTATTAAAACCTAACCTTGTGGTAGCAAAGTCTGTTTCCTTTTGATTTATGTTGAGTTAGTTCAGCATTTAGTATTATGTCGTTGTCATGTTCATTACAAGTATGTCCACCGTTTAAGGGTTAATTGCTAAGCCTGTACTACGTCATCAATACAAGCGGTAGCTAAAAATTTGGAATTCCTGCTGTACGATTAATAAATTGCCGATTAAAGCAGCGTGAGAACAGCGCCGCCGGTAATGAATTATTCCTTTTGAAAGACACAAATCCAAAAATAAATTATTCATAAAATATGTGTTTGTTTACTGTGTTTCTGTGTGCTAACAAATGCGACAATGAACATGAAAATTATATGAATAATTAAAATGTATGAATAGCTTGATGAAAAATTACGCTAAAAGACAAAATTAGATTTTTAAAATA